AAACAAACTTAATTACAAACAAAAGTCAATATGTAATTTTGTTTTCCAAACACAATAAATAACTATTTTCACTGATATATTCAAATGATGTGACTGAAACCATTAAACCGTAAGTTCGTTTTTATTTGATTGAGAGAACCATTAACCTTTACAAATAACGAATCAGCGATAAATAACGTTCGTATATAAATTCTTGAAAAAATTAGATTAGCCTTTCTCATTATTTTGTTGAAATAATAGCAGTGACCTTAAGAAAACACTTAAATCTTCAGTGTTTTTGTAAAACTTTCTATTCTTTTGATAGCTATGATTTTGTTTAAAATCTAGGTTAATCAAGTTAGCAGTCTAAGAATGGCCAAACTCACTGCTCGTAACAGTCTTTAGTTCCTTAAAAAACGTTGACGATTGCGAACAACGATAATTCCTAACAGAGATGCGGGAACGAATTTAAAACGGAGGTGCTGAAAATGGGGGAGAGTGGTGTGTATATATATATATATTTCTAATCATTTTTAAACATACATAAAATTGTAATTTTTTGTGCATTTCATAATCACACACACAGACCAAACCAAATGAGTGTTATAAGTAACTAGCGTATAGCCCGTCAAAAATGATGGGGCAAGTACCCCCCCCCCCCCCACACCCCACAGTGTACCCGTTACTCACATTTAAGCTAACAGAGAGAAATAAATTTTGCGGAATCAAGCTTGACCAACAAAGAGGCAGAAAAGTGCAGTCGAGGCAGTCAAACGTTGGTAAATACCTTTGTGAGCCAATCAAAATTAAGATAATTCACGAAATAAATTCGTGGAGTATTCATAGAATAATTACTGATTTAAAATCAGTTAGAGTAACAACTTCTTAATGCATAGAAAAGTCAATGCGTTTTTGTAACGCTACTTCCAACAATGGCTTTTATGTAATGTCGCTTAGCAACAAAAGTATAACCTAATATTGTTGCTAGTCTATGTACTAAAAGTATAAGATGAAATATATAGACAACAAAACTGGAAAAATATTTGTTGATTTTTTAACTTAGAGTCTTCGTTGATTAAAGAGGTTGGTGATATAACAGAAAATAGCTTAATTCAGAAACGATTTAAGTTTAAAATTGAATCTATGTATATTTCTACTTTAATGATAAATGTTATGCGGTTGGCTCTAGGATAAATGATCCCACACTACGTCTTTACTTTAGGCTTATTATACCAACATTCACTACACATATAAGGTTTCACGGCACCTCTCCCCTCACGGCTCCCTTGCACTCCCGTCACTAAAATCGTAATAGGCAGACAGTAATCGAACTATTCTATCTGTATAAATGCATTTTGGCTTTTATGGCTTCTACTATTTCAATAAATCAACCGTGACGTAACACACACTGGCTTTTATACAGGTTAGATAAGATACACAACGTCACGAAATAACAAACTCAGAAACACGAGTGAAAAAATAATTAATAATGATAATAATTTAACGAGAACGGCAGGCCTCACTGGCACAGTACTTCTTCTTCGGCATGTGTGTGTATGTAGGAAGGGTGTGCGGCCGTACCCCAAGCACCCCTCCCACTTCTCGCGTCCTTGATTCCTAATAATTACAAAACAAATAATGAACTACAAGAGAGGACAAACATCAGAATATGAAACTTAATCAACTTCAACTAGGGATTAAATGATATGTTACAAATTATTATCTTTTTTTCTAGTGCTGGTATTTCCTGTCAACTTACTAAAATAGAACTAACAAAGTTTTTTAATGATCAAGCATATCGCAAAATCCTTATGTAATAATCAAAATAAATACGTTTAATCAACAGCGTCATTCGCCTTAATGTACAGAACATTTGGTTATCATAAATCAAAATTTAAATCTTGATCGTCTGATAATTAACACGACAGTGTGGTCAAATGAAAAATATATATATATTTATGTTTACTGCGTCTTTATAGATTGTTAAGTAGCCAAAAATATTAATATAATACAATACCCGCACCCTACTCTCAAGCAAAAATATCTATATTTTATAAAATCTTGAATTATTCATTAATATATAAATATGTATATATATTTATGTATTTTATGGCCGTTTCTCGTGTTAATTTTTTATTGCGATATTAGTTAAAGAATAGGCCTTTACAATCAACTGAATTATTTACTTTTAGCAAGAACAGCTCTACATACAAAACTTTTAAATGCACAATAGAGGAATCTATACTTATCTAAATAAAAGGGGCGTTACTACTGTCACGGAAACTTTTTAAACGTAAATTATAAGAGAACTATTTTATTTTCAAACATCCTGTTTCGACAATTGGCCTACCGTACAGAAAAGACGCAACACAACCAGATTGTGAAAAATCTCCATTTATATCTGCCCGACTAGCCACACTGAGATATAATATTTTTAACTTTACCTCAATCATAGCCAGTAATCTCACATCAATAGAACTGTCAAATCCCATGCACGATAATAATAGGTAAAAACTTGACCTCATGTCATGCAATAACTATAAAATAATTACTTAGCATTATATACAGCAATCATTTATTTGTTTGCTGTTGCTTTTGATAAAGCAAATTTACCCTTTATAATAATCTCTTAACCAACCAATTATATAACCTTTACGCTAAATAAAACACGGGTGCCATGTGTAAGAAGTATGTTAGATTCGTTGGAAAATTTTGCTTTTTACTGGCCAGAAGTACATAATCTATTAGGCCTACAATGTTGTTTTTTTCTTTTATGCCTTCTAATCCCTGTCGAAGGACTGTCTGCCTGTACAAAATCTAGGAAGTAATAAAACAAAAACAAAAGTTTTATGTTTTTCAAACAAAAGAGGGTGTATTGTATAAACAGTATAAGTATATTTTCTACGCGAATTGGAAACGCGTGACAGCTTTTTTTGCTTTACTGGAGAACTATATTCCTATTCGTTTAATCTAGTAATTTTTATGCCTTAAAATAATGTAATTTTGTATAAAACGCCGTTAATACACATTGTGGCAAATCGTATTAATTTATGACATTCGAATACGTGTATTGTTTGTTTGAAGTTAAGCACAAAGCGACACAAAGGGTTAGTTGTATTCTGCCCACCACGGGTATCGAAACCCGGTTGCTAATGTTGTAAGTCCGCAGACATGCCGCTGTGCCGGAACGCGTATTGTATTCAACTTTGATCGAAGACAGTGCTCTTAATTTGTTAGGCTTATAATAGCTATCTTGGGTTTAAGTGGAGCAAGAAACAAATATTTCTGAAACATCTGTGAGCTAGTGGTTGATCAAGAAATTCTTAAAATATCAAAGAGAACTTTATGATGTTACCTTAGTGATTTCATTCAAACATTTATTACATATAGTTTTATTATGAAAATGAAGCAATAAGAATCACGTCATTAATCTAAATCACGGTGCTTTGGCTTAGTCTTTTCATTTACAGCAGGCTAATATTTTGATGTTAATCAAATAAATACTTAAGAATAACATATAAAAACACCTTTTTATTTGTAACTTTTGTTCAAGTTATCAAAAAATAAACAAATGAACAAGTAATATGTAATATTAGCTGTGTTGTGTATTTGTTCGGTATACTGTTATTTTAATATTAACAAGTAGATAATTGTAACAGGTTATTTTCATGTGAAATAACAAACCTGTTACAAGTAGTATTTACTTAAAAAGCCAGTAAGATGCAGCCACTAGTTTCACACAGATAGCCAACTCGAGGAAGTTCAATTGCTAAGCGAGAAACAAGACACAGAGTCAGAAGTCACAAAATATAAAAAGATTTTATTCACTTCTTCAAAAAAAAAATAAAAAAAATGGATGCAATAAAATTATTATTCTTAAGACGTAAAAAAAAGATACAAGAATTTAGTATATGGTTTCAAGCAACTTACTTAGATTGGAATTTCTTCTCACTGTTATACAAAGACTTTCTTCTGAATGTAATATTTTATCCCAAGCTTCTCTCTTAAAATAAACTCTAATAAGAATATGTATAACTTACAGTTTAACTGAGTTATCGACTCACAGCGGAGAGTGTTGCTAGTTCAGGTTTAGTGCAAGCACATGATATGAGACTAGCTTCAGGCTAACTTCATAACTAAACTCGGTCCTAGCTAAACAATGGCTAACTAACTCATTGCTGGATGCCTAATTAATACGTTTGGTTTTGTTACAAATTTTATTCTATATCTTTCTAATTCAAGAATTGCTGATTATCATGCAGTAAATGTATCATACAGTATAGTTTGTGAACTATACATGGACTTTCATAGAAAATTACAAGAATTAATGAACTATAGTTACTATACAACACTCTTCTTAGGGGAAGCAATTGAATTCTTTGGTCTTCGACCGTTCACTCTATGATCCTCTTTTCCAATCATCATTCCAGTAGTTAATATCCAACTTATTTCGGTTTCATTTCATGAGAAATCTTCTTAATGCTTAATTTTTCAGCTTGTCCTCAGTTCGCTGTATGAACTGACTAATTTTCAGCTCAATAGTATACATTCCAGTAGATTATCGACTATGATAACTGATCCTCCAACGTTGATTTAAAAGTAATTTTCATCTTGCAGTTGGCTAAAATGTTTATTAAAATTTAATTTAATATAATTGCCAGATATATGCTGCTATAAACCAAAGGTATTTCATTTGTATATGTTTCTTCAGATTATTAAACTTTTCATTGACCCCGTTTCCCTACTGTTCGGTACAAGAGTATTTTTAAAGTGAAAAGTTTCAAAATAATAAATTATTATTCAATGTTGAATTTTTTTTCATTTTCAGATTCTAATTGAGGGCCGAGTACAGACTAAAACCCGCTTCGGTAATCTTGTGAAGAAATAGCGCCACCTTTAATTCCTGTGAAGACGAAGATGCGCACAATAGTCTTTGAACTGTGAGAGTTTCAGATTGGAGAGCAGGTGGTGTTGGATAATCGAAGAACGGGTGCCATGTGTAGGAAATATGTTAGTTTCGTTTAGAAAATGCGGTGGTTTTATATTGCCCTTTTATTGTCCTCTTGCAATGCTTCCTTTTATGATGTGACTCGTACTAGACCTAGAAGAAGACGAGGTAAATCAAGTAGTACAAATTAACGAATATAAGAATTTTTTATTTTGCATTGCTTGCCTATTTTATCAATTTTAATTTTTATATAATTACACTGTATAGTGTTGTGCTAAATCAGTAAATGCCTACAACTACAAGTTACATACACTCTGTTACAATTACAACTTAACTTACAGTACAATTATAAGTTATAGTTTAAGTATAAGCTATACACATAGTTATAGTATTATATACTATTACTAGTACTATTTCAGTATTTGTAGCACGAGCACCAGTAACATACTAATACTACTACTGAGTACTACTAGTAGTACGTTACTACTACTATTACTACAAGCATTGTGTTAATGTTATACTTAAGTTATACATTATAGCATAATAATTAAAGATTAGTGTTTAGCACTATGCTTTATTTTTGAACTTATTTAAAATTTTAAGTTATAATGCCAGGTTTGAAGTTGAACGTTTAATAATAAAAGTTTTTATAAAACTTAAGATAACTCTTTGGTAGATAAAAATACTATTTTGGAAAGACACCAAAAGGGAAATTTGTAGCCAAAGTTGTCTAATGGAATCACTTCCTACAGCTACATAGGTGAAACGATAGAGAATTGCATGTTTAATTCTATAGCTTTTGTTGTTGTTTTTTCTCTTCATTTAAATCTTAAGCAAAGCTGCATTTTGTTAGTATGCTGATGTATATTTGCATATTTTTAGACCCACAGTTGTAAATATGTTATAAACATTGGAATTATTTGTAAATTTTTCATTTGTGTGTATTGTTATAATACTTTCACTTTCAGGAGAGGTGTGTTATGCCTTACTAACTCTTTACTTTTTTATAATGTTTCTGTTTTTAGGTGACATCTATTTTACTTTTTAGAAGACCATCCCTAAGGTGTTTCATAAATTGATCAAATATTATTTAGCAAATCAAATTTATGGTATCAGTAGTAATGTTGAAAACTAAATAGTTTTTTTTTTTTGTTAAGCAAAGAGTGATTGTAAACTGGCAGTTTTCATACTGGGCAAGATTTTTTCCTGAGGATCTGTTTGTCTATTCATTATATAATTGATATTAAATACTAACATTTTTTGTTTTATGTTCTAACTTGCTAATAGTACCAAAAGTATGGGCAGAACAATTTGTCTTTAATTTAAAATGGTCAAAACAATGAGTAAGCCAGGGTCTTATCTTTACATACAAAATTTAAAATATTGTAGTTTTGGTCTCCTTACAGTGGAAAAACTGATTTACTGGAAATAATACAGGGTAGAATTAGTAGAATAAATCTGGATGTTATATATAATTTATTAAGATAGTTTCTGGCATATTTCTATAAAGAGAAAGGAGAACTTTTGAATGATTTGTTCTGTCAAAAGAGGTAACATATGAAGCTAAAAAATACAAGTTGCAGATTTATTTTTATTCAAACTGGAATTTTCATAATTACAAATCATAGTAACAGACTTTGGTGAAGCTTTGCACATCAGTTAAACTTGTTTTCTTTTTCTAAGAACAAAGCACAATATCTGGACTTGGATATTGGCATCATTAATTGAGCAATCAAGTTAAATTTTTTTTCTATATAATGGGCATTTTCAACTTTTAAATTGTAAACTTTCTATTTAAAAGTACAAATATTCCAAATAAGTTACTTTACAACATGTACTACTCACAACTTATTAGATGGTTAGAGCTCTCGTCTTTCGCAAGTGAAGTTTCTCCTGTCAGATTTCTAACACAAAATTCATTCAATCTGTGGGGAATCAAACAATATTCTTACTGTTGATTATGGGTTTAAAAATTTTACATATCATGAACTCTTCAAAACTTTCACATTAGTTTAAGCTCTAATTATGCATAATTATTACTAGCTTTATAACAGTTCCGTATATAGTATGAAATTATGTCATCATCTAATTTACAATAGTTTTTGCTAATAACTTTCTTTGCCATATTTACTTTGTTGGAATTTTCCTAAGTAAATATTATTATTGAGCTTTCTTGAAGTTTGTCAGAGTTACATTTAAGTTTTTACAGAAGATTTAACTTAATTTTTATTTATTACTTTCTGTTGCCTGCTTTATTTGTCTTGTTAAGTGACAGAGGTTTGTTAAAGTGGGAGTAGTTGTGTTACACAGACTTCATAGTATGTTTAACTTACTGTTTTCTCTGTATTACATTTAACATCATTATATTATAATTACAGAATAAGCATTCTAGTTATATTTGTATAATTTAGGTATTCATTTAATTGAGTTTTTTGTATTTTCAATTACTTTTACTTTTGGTTATACATTTGGTAGTGTCCAGCAAATTGATTTGACACCTAAACAGTAAAATATGACTCGTAGTAATTTATTTCAGATGCCACTCTCCTCTAAAGTTGCACTTTCGAAACTGTTTAATGGGTTTTTATTGGTCACAGAATGTTGTTAAGGGTGGTTGTGGAAAGTACAGGTTATATTGGTGTTACATTATTAAACAAACATTAAATCTACGACTGTTCTTGAAGCCAACAGTTAGTGTTTGTGTGTTCCATAAGTAAGGTATACTCTATTTATTAAATGTATTTGTTAGAATCGTATTATTTTTGGTTTTATTTAGTATCATTATACTTTTATCATGGAGATTATTTTGCATTGTTAGCTTGATATATGTATTTAGAACTAACCTAAATCACCCAATATGGCGAGACATCATGGGATATTATTGGGTTTACAGCATGAAATATTTTTAACAGCAAGGGTACTCAACCGATGAGGCAATGCATTCTAATTTTATAAGTAAGAATGTAAGAAAAGTATATTTGGTAAGCTATACTCTTTATGAGGTTGATTTTTTATTTCACTCCACTCTAAGTGGGTAGTGCACTCTGATCCATGACGCCCCACTTAGAGTAATATATATATATATATATATATATACATGGAGTTTGATCATCTCACTACAGAAAATATATCAATGTGTTGGAAAGTGAGAGAAATGGACTAGTTGCATAATACTTGGGTTAAGTAATTTGAAATAATTTTTTTTTGCTAGATAATAGAAAAAATTAGAGAAGACTTGATTCACGAGTTCAGAATTGGTTCAAACAGTATTTGTATGAGTGGTGGGATAAAAAAATGGAAAATACAAACTTAAATAATTAATTAATTAAGGATAAAAAGCTTAGAATTACTTTTCAGTTAAAGTTAGACATTTGTGTATTAAGTCGTCCTGATAATGTAGTGTTCATTTAGTTTGAATTATTTTAAAATACTGTTAAATATGTATAAGAATTAATATTAATTCCAATAGAAAAATAATTCTTATTTTGCTTCTTGTACTATAGATGTACATATACAACAGAAAAAACAAATTAACACTTATATTTTAATTTCTTTTTAAACCAGTATTTTTTTGGCTTATTTTGATAATTTCCTTACTTCTTCTGGCAATGTATCTTCTTTTTTTTCTGAATCATTGGACCTCTGTCCACATGGGAAGTCCTTATTGCTCTTTTGGATTTGTAGGGGGAAGTCTTGAACTGCTTAATGCAGTTTCTGAATCTTCTTATATTGAGTAAGTTTGTATATTCTGATACATAAGAGTGTACTGTTTTTTAATCCAGTATAATAGGTAAATGTTGTTTCTCTTGACTTTCATTTAATCATTGTTTTGCCTAGGTTGAAGCAACATTCATCTTTCACTTGAACTTTACCTGTTGTTGACAAAAGGTCTCATGGATTCATTGTTGTATATTGAATGTATTCTTATTGTCATCTTCTTTTGGTAATCTTACTAGCTAGGGCTAGTAGATAAGATCTTATACCATAGTTTGTAGACATTTTTAAGAGTAGAAATTACTTTTTTTTACCTGCTACAAAATATTAATTTACTTGTACTAATAGATATGACCTTGTGTTGCATCTGTAAGATATTTTTGATATAAATATTATTATACTTTTTATAAAACCTATTACAAAATCTTAATTTGGGCAAGCAGATAGAATCTTGTGCTTTAGTGTTTAAGTAGGTTTAGGTAAATAATTCTGTTTGTTACGATTTTTTAAGTCTCATTTGGATGAATCCAAAATATACAGATTTATTTATAAAATAAGGATTCATTAGCTTAAAAATACTCAACAGAGAGCTTTGAAGAAAACTGCCAGTTTTTATCGCTAAGTTTTGTTGTTTAATGTTTAGGTAATGCCACTAGCTCTGACTGTTAGCTTTTCTTTCAGCTGATGCAAAAAATTTTTGTTAATTAGTGTTTGTAAACTTTGTTTCTGACCAGTGTGTCATTATCAATGCATTCAGGAGCTTAGGTGTGAATTCCATATTGACACCCTTAGTTTTTGAAGTTGTTGGGGGGAGGGGGGCTTTATGACTTTCCAAATTATTGACATGTTTTTGTACCATTAACTTGTGAAGTCCACATATTTTACTATATTTGAGTAATTTATGTTTTTTCTTGTTTTATTGTAAAGAACCCCAAAAAAAATGTTAGTGAAATCATTCATTTGGTCTGTTAATTATATTGCTGAAGGAGCTGTGATATTGATGGTATATATTTTTGTATGTTATTAGGGACTCTGTAACCAGTTGTCTTGGTCCCATAAGCAGTTTGGTGCATAGTTTAGACAAATGTTAATCAAATTAGTTATTATAGGGTTAAACAAAAAAATTTATTTATTATATCAAACATCCTTATAAATATATTTACTTTGTTTTATCATATAGTTTTAATGTTTTCTATTATTCTTTTGCACTAGGTTGTACTTGTTTCTTTGTTGATAATTGTTGCATCTTGATGTTGGTATGTGATAGGGATCAATTAGCTATTGTAGTATGTTTGTTTTGGTTTGCATTTATATTTAAATACCTCCAGTTAATCTTATTTTCAATTATTTATGGTTAGCTATATAGCTTTAAAAAATTTTTTTAAGCTGCGTAATTACAAAGTATTTTAACATAGTAAAATATGAATAGCCCAGGCAAATGAAATTGAGAAGCTTTTTTTTTTGTTGGTGGACAGCAGTAATAACTGATATCTTATGAATCTATTGAAACTTTTTCTTTCTTCTTTTTTTATCTCTTTTTCTTTTTTATGATTCGACCTGTTATGTAATATTTGAAGAAACATTAAAAATGTTTTGCATGTGTTTTAATATATATATATATGTATTTTTTTAAGAAACTTAAAATGACAGAAATGATGGAAGATTTACAGAACTATAGGAAAGTTAGGGATTTGGTTAAAATAGAGAAATTGAGAATTTATAAGATTTTTGTTGAAGGCTACGAGGTGGTTGAGCTTTTAAATGTTTTCTTATGTTTTTATTGGAGAAGATAATAGCAATATTCCTGACCCTGAATATCGTATAGATAAAAAATACTGGAACACACTTGAATCATGTTGATATTGATCCCTTAGTGATAAGTGGAGAGGTTGAGAGATTTAAAAGTAGATAAAGCACCAGAGATACACTTTTCCCCAGAGTTAAAAAAAGTCAAATATCAGATATATTAGCCTCTTATTTTTGGTAGGTATTGCAGGTGAAAGTGGGCACATGCCTGAGGACTGTAGAGTTGTTTGTGTTACTCGTATTTTTAATGGGAGTAGTAATAGTTGCCCTGAAGATTATAAACCAGTGAGAAAATATCTACAGATTCAGATAAAAATCATTTAATGAAATATCTTATGATGTTATAAATGAAAACTAACATGGATTTGGCAAAAAAAATATTTTTTCAAGGACTTTGCTTGTCAGCTGGGTGAGGGAAAGGGTTTGAATTTAGTGTACTTAAATTTTCAAAAAGCTTTAGATAAGGCACTACACAAAAAAGTAGCTAAAAAATCACATGAATAGTGGTTGAGGAAAGACAAGTTAATTAAACTGTAGGAGTTAGTTTTTGTGATTTTGCTATTTCTGACTTACATCAATGATATTGATAGAAGTAGAATTAGTAAAGTTTGCTGGTGATATTGAACTCGTTGATATCTAGCTTTATTGAGAATGTTGAATCAATTGGTAAATTGGACAAATAGTTAGCTAATGGCCTTTGATTATAGTAAATGCAAGGTAATGCATTTGAAGTATCATAATTTCTATCACATATTTAATATAGATTGAAACCAACTCAATAGCATGACTGAAGAAAAGGATCTTGGCATAGTTGGTGGATAAGTCACTCAAGCCACTGAAACATGCTCTGTTGATAGTAGTGAAGCCAATATAAATTTTGATATGTTGATTATCAGTCAAAAGAGGTAATTATTTCTATACAAATCACTAGTTACCAGTTTGGCATCACTTGGAATTCTGTGTATCTAAGAAAGGATATTGACTTATTGGAAAGGGTTCAGAGGAATGCTACTAAGATGATTCTAGGGATTGAAGGGTTATCTTATAGGGATAGGTTAAGATCTCTCAACTTATTTTCTCTTGAGAAAAGAAAACTAAGGGGTGATCCTATTGAAGCTTAATAGATTACCCTAGGGATCTAAAGGATAAAGGCCTTTGATTTATTTGTGCTATAGTCTGAAGAATTTAGGATGAGAGAATACAAATTTAAGATTTGGAAAAGATAGGCTAGTCTCTAGTTAAAACACTTATTTTTCTAACTGGGTGATTGACTAATGGGACAAGTTGCTATTGGCAGCTGTGGAGTTCAGTGCTGTACAGGAGTTTGGGAGAAAAATTGATGGTTTCCTGAAAAGTAAAGGGTGGTTTTAAATTTTTACTTTTTTCCATGGGTGGCTCTGCAAGGACAGACTTGAAAGACTATATGGACCTTTTTCTCCATAGGTTATGTAGTTTAGATCCCATTATTTTACCCACCTTCCAATAGTTAAACCTCTTTGTTTAATAGTCTTAACAAAATTTGTGAGTGAAAAAAACAGGTGTTAATATTTTTTGTGCTTTAATGTTGTTACTTTTATTATTTTCTCTAATATATTCACTTTAATCTAGATGTCCCATTATTCTAAGAATTAAAAATATTTAGATTTTGAGATTCCTGGATGGAAAATTTAACAAAGGAAATGAATAAATCAATTTTTAAAGATTTTTAAGAGGGTGTCTGTATGTGTGTCAATATGGAATTCATAACAACATTTATAAAGAAATGTTTTAGTTAAATTTTTCAAATCTTCTATCATTTCGACAAATGATATTTTTTGACTGTCATTGCAGAACATGTATGTTTTCATTCATTCCTAAGCTGCCACTTGTCTGTATTTTGTTATTCACTTAACAAACATTTGTTTACAAGCTGATTCAATGTTCCGCAGACTTAGAAGCTTCATTGGGTGATTCACCAGGTTTCCCTTCACGGGGTAAGTTTCTAGTGCTCATATGAGACTGTGGTGACCTTGGCCCCTGCCTGCTGTCTTTTTTGGAAATCCTGTTATTCCTGACAGTTCTATCCCATATGCAGATACATCAGATGTAGTTGTCAGTTTTCCAGTCTTTTTTTTTTTTTCTTTGCCTGCAATCCCTGTCCATGTGAATTAGTTTTGTGTATACTCGTGTATAAAGGCATGAACTGTAAACATTCAGAATTTAAAGTAATTTATTGTACTGTAGAAGTCTTAGATATGCCTTATGAAGAGGCCTTGCTGGTTTTATGAGAATGAAATAATGCAAGTACTTTTAACCAACCTGCACGAAAATGTTTTATTATTATGCAATGAAAAAAAAGTTGGTTCTCATTTGAAAACCATGTTGAGTAAAGTTAGAAATAATGTAATTCAAGTCAGAACTGAATAAAAAATTTTTTCAATATTCAGTACATGTATAACTTAACAAAACCTTTGTGTAAGTCTAAGATATTTTTTTTAAATCAAAGAACTTGTAAGCTTTTACTAATGACTACTGCTGACAACACAACAGAAAAATATGAACCTTTCATTGTGAAAGAGAATAAAAAAATTTTCTTATTTTATTCTTTAAGATTTTTGTCCAAAGAAATTAAGACTTTTGGCATTGAGTTTAATGGATGTAAATGGATTTACTTACCAGTCAGTAGTGGAGAAATCATGGTGAGGATATCTTCATCAATGGTATAATTCTTTTTGTGATTTTAAGAGAAGCAGGTTCTTGGGGGAAAAAAAAAATCACAATGAGATGTCTAACTCTGAAACAAATGAAATCACAGTTCATTATAAAATATATACTATATAAAATATGTGCATGGGATTTATTGTTTTATTTTCATTCAAGAGTTCATTCACTGTTATTATGACATAAATCAGAATCTAATGTTAATCAGGTAGACTTACCTCTGAAATTCTAAAAGCCTTTCCTTGTTGAGTTTTCTCTCATGCTGTCAACACTCAAGTTCTGAATATCCTTGATACATTGTTCTTCACGTACAGTCATCCTGTAAACTTGGCTCACTATGAATGCTGAAGTCAATGTTAACTAGTTACCAAATGTTTCTATCAATATTGGAAATTTTACAACTTCTCTGGAGGCCTTTTTTACGTAGTCTGCCTCTAACATGAAGATAGATCTTGTGGTTCTTATTGATCAACATATTCAGGCCTTTAATTCCATGTTGTCTCCTGGTGCCCATAATGGGTTTTAGGTTCCTGTAGATACTCAATGGCAGAAAATCTGCCCTTTTCTTATAATGTTAAATTATTTTGCTTAAGCCTACTCACCTTCATTGTCTTAAGAGCAAGATTTGTCAGCTGTATTTCCAAAGCTTTTTCTGGTCTGATTTCTCTCTCCTCCTTCTTTTTTTCCTCAAGTATGTACGACTTCAAATCTCGTACTATCGTTGTTATCCTTGAGAGTGCTAATGTCATATTGGACAATCCATTTCTTGAATCCTAATATTTTCCACCTTCTGATTTGTGGGTCATTGCTGATGTTTTTAGTAATCATATAAATATTAATATCTTATAGGGAGGTCATTTTCCTCTACTCATCTTACTTCTTTAGTTTATGACCCTCAAGTTGACGTTTTGGGAGGTCTTTCCCATGATCATCACTGTGGACCATTGTAAGTTTTTGTCTTGCATGCTGTTTTATCTCATTTTGAGACTCTTCTCTATATTACTTATTAGCTATCAGCTATTCTCAATTTCCTTATTTGTTTATTCAGAATAAACTGTTTACCTTGAAGTTCTCTTTATATGCAGCTTTCATGGATGTAGTTTCTATTACCACATGGCTCTTATGTTCCTTTGACACCTAAGTGTTTTGTGCCTTGTTAGAAGATACTCAAGGCTCTCCCAACTTTTCAGTTAACCTTGAAGAATATTCTCCCTGCATTGTTTGTCTTTGTAGAATTTTACCTACACTAGTCTCCAGTTCAAAAGATGCATGGCAGTAGGTGCTGATTAGGGTTTTATAATTTTGATTTGCTTCTGGTAGCCATGCATTGCCTTCCTCATCCACTTCTCAGTCTTTGTCAGTACTTCTACTCATTCCTTTTGCCCCTAATAAGTGGGAAAAAATTATATGTAAGCAAGGTGGGTTTTCTTGACACATTTAATGATATTTTTCTATTCTTAAAAAGCTCCCATTTGGACTGTTGGAGGGTGTCTGAAATCTGATTTGTCTGTGGGACCCTCAGCTTTGGGATACTTCAGTCTGGCCTTAATGTATTTTCCTCTTTCTTCTGATCCAGTCACTTACATATTCTGAATCAGGAAGACTGAAATCTCCTTTAGAAAAGAGCAGTTAAATCATTTATGTTTCTTCAGACTTTACTTCCATCTTTTTATGGTTGTGAAGATATTAAAAGATTAGAGACCTGTTTAGACCCATCTCAACTCACCTTTTTTCTGAAAACATCTCATTTTATAATGGGAAACATGAGGTTGTTTTAGAAGTTTTCTCTATTGTGACCTTTAGATGATGATGTTGGATATAAAGAATGCTTATTTTCATACCCCTGTTCATCTTTCATCTTGTCTTTTTTTTTTTGTCATCTGGGAGGTAGTTTATTAGTTCAGTGCACTTTCCTTCAATTTGACTTTGGCTGCCTAGATTTCCTGTCAAGTAATCTAGTTTTTGCTGTTTTTCTCCATTAACTCACACCAATTTTTACTTTTACATGTATGATTGACCTATTCTGATCCTTTCATTGATTACACACAAATCAGTGAGCAACTCTGTTACATCTCTAGAATGGATCATCCACAACTCCAAATCCCATTTAGTATCGACAGTACTTTGTGCATCTGGGGATTTGGATCAAAACATTTAAAGGTACACTTCACTCTCTTTTGCACATACTTTTGTGTTTTCCACAACTATTACCAAAGACATTTTCTGCTTTGGAGACATTGGCCTCTTTTTCACAGACATTCCTTTGGGCTCTGCTTCTCAGTAACATCCGACTTCAAACATTTTGTTATAAGGCATGCCTAGTTCTATGACTCTCCTGTTTAAAATCACCAAAAAAAAGGTGTCCCAGTCTGAAACATTGTGAACATTAAAACATCTATTTAATGTTAGTCATTTTTTGTGGTAGAAGTTTTCCTCTTCTTTTGTAAAAAATCATATTTCCTTAGAATGAAGAAAAAGGTTAACAAAAAACAATCACAAACTAGTTCAAATATCTAAGCAAAATTAATCTGACCACTGTGACAAAAATAACAATAATTCAAGATAAATATAATAATTGTGTAACCTGATATAATCTCATTTAATAAAATATAATCAAATATACTTGTTTAAAAATTTTGCAGCTCGGGGATTGAAATAATGAAATAAATTGCATTCACTCAAGGGAGAGCAATTAGGAAGATTACATTCCCTCATGTAAAGTTGAATTTCCTCGTGAATTTTTTTTTATTTTATTTAATTCATGCAGTATGTTCACTTTCATTGGTCATAACTAAAGGAATATCGATGGACCATACATTCCTAAAAAAAGATGAAATTCCTCAAGCAAATTTAAATTCCTTTGGAATGTAATATTTTGATCCCTGCAGCTGCTATTGACATCAGATTATAGAAAAATGTCTCCTTAGATCCAACTCAATAACAGAATAAAATGTTTTTTATGGGGGTGTAAAAAATGAAATGGCAACAAAAACACATTCAAAATGAAAACAAAACATTTGAATGCCATGATTTTTATACAAAGAACTGCTTTCTCATCTCTAACATCCATGAGTACGTGCATTAAAACCAAACTTATTTGTTAAATAAAAAAGTGGCTTTTATAATTAGAAAAGTTACATGCCCAAATAACCTGAAACCACAAGTTCTTCAATCAAGCTGTTCAGCTTTATTGGCATTGATGTATTTGAATGATGAGAAGATACTGTCATTTTATTGCTTTAACACTTTCTATCAAATCTTATTAAAATCTGTACTAGTTTAGAAGAGGCAATGCTTTACAATCCACAGCATGTGCCTAAGCCTCATGTTGGTGCAAATACATCCCGAACAAACCACAGGTGTATTAATTAGCAAATATATATTTGGATAATAAAGTAATCAAAGTGATTTAACATAATTAGGCCTATTTGTACTAAGTATGAAAGAAAAGAAATGCATAAAGGTTATTTTGCTTCAAGCTACCCCTTGAAAGTTTTAGTAAGCTGTATTTTACTGTTTTTTTTTGTACAGTCGTTGTTTTTAATCTGTAGATGAAAGACTATTGTAAAATCAATATGTACAATTGCACATTTTATTTACTGTGTTAATTTGTAGTTCTGATCTACGTAAGAACCGTAATTTGATCAGAAGTTACTAATATATATATATCTTGAAAATAAACTAAATATCATAAACTAATTCACTGAAATGGGAGAAAAAATTACCATGTTTTTCAAGTTCTTCATTTAGCCTTTATAATTTGTAGACATGACTTTTACATAAACAGATTTCGAACATCTACACTACTTTTGGTTAAATATTATATAATTCACAAAACCTTTTAGAATAACATTGGTAATACACAGTATGCAAGACAGCACAGTATTACTTAAAACTTAATATGTAAGAGAATTTTGTATCTATTTGACTGTTGACAAAATATGCTATGTAAGATGGTAGTTTTCACTCTAAGAGAATTACAAAAGTGATTTGATTTATAGTGGACATAGAGAGTCTGAAGAGGTTATATCCAGAGAATGAGAAGCTGATAGCTAGCCTCCCAACACCCTACTACACAGTAATTTTTCCTGTTCAAGAACGTCATGAAAAAAGTGTTGGAATCTCAACTAGAGATACCACTGCAAACAGGGTAGGGGAAATGCATTGCGTAAGTTTGCATAAAAAGTTATGAAAATATTTACTTATATTATCCTAATTTACAATTTAAAACAATGATTTGTAATTACATTTTATCTAATTACTTCTTTTATTGTTCCTCCTTATTTAGGTCCTAAATTCTCGTCATTGTCGAAACAATTGCACGAAATTTTGGGCTTCTTCAATCATATAGTAATCAGTGACTCATATGTTTCTTACTGTTGTTTTAAATGAATTTTAAATTTCCAGTATTTAGTAGTTTATTTATTTAACATGTATGTTTAGATTACATTTCCTAAAATTTGAAATTTTAGAAACAGAGCTTAGAACTGTAATAACTTAGTTATACAAATATTTTAAACTTTAACAACTCTCTGATATACATTCAACAGTTCAATAAAATACATGTAAGTTACTGTTGTCTTTTTTTTTATTCCAGGAAGTAAAATAGTTAGTAATAACATTTAAAACATACAATACCTATACTTCTTGGTTACATATTTAGGATTTAATAAAGTTTTGACTATTTGAATGCCTAAACATTAGTTAACCTCACCAAGTATTAACATTATCAGGATGCTTGTTCAGTAGTATGAACAGTAATTGGCTCACTACGTAAGTCACAGTTGAAATAACTGTTAATTTCACCATTTCATAACTAGTTTAGAATATATCAATAGCAAGATTTATTCAGGTAATTTTTCTAAATTGTCATGCAGGTTTATGCATGTAGTCCTGACATTCTTGAAAATTGAATATAGAAAGATGGTAAATATGTGCAAATTTTTTTACATATGTAAAGATTGAGTATGACGATGGACTGGTATCTGTATCCTTTCCCCTGGGCCGGGGAAGGCCCATTTCAAAAGATAACATAAGTACTTTTACAAAATGGTACAAATTAGGAGTTCTTGTCATTGAATATATCATTTGAAATAGTTGTTGATATGTATAATCAATAGATTATGGGATCCTTTATTTGGATTTATTGGCCTGACTTGAAAGTGTGAGTTTATAATTCTTCTTGTCCTTTGTGAATGTGATATTTCTACTAGTCACTGTCTAATTCATGTTTCGCAAATGCTTTATCTTCATCGTAGCAGCTAGTATAGTCACAACAGAGTTTAAGAGGCTTCAACTTGGGTAAAACACACATACTATTGTAAATAAACATTTTTTTTCCTTGTTTATTTATGTGTTTTTTCTTTGCTGTCTATGCTCAGTTTATTTTTACATACTGTTTCAAAAACCTGCTGTATTACAGAAACTTTGGGTTCTTATTGGATATCAGAGTACCTGAATACCACAAGTCAACCTCATCAAGCCTAAACATTGTCTGAAATTATGTTGAATGCTAATTCAGTAAAATGAACAGAAGTTTACTACTTACTGATAAAGATCTCTCAGTTCACTAAAACTTTCATGTTTTTTTTCTGGGATTATTCTAAAAATTACCTTAAAGCCATGTTTTTGCATGTTTCTTTTTAGAATCATTTTGTTGAAGCTGTTATATGTTGCTTAACCTTATAAACTTGGTATGGAGATGTTTCTTGTATTACTTCTCTGAACAAATTGTGTTGTAGTTGGTGTATACACAAAATGAATATATTAATAATGCCAACATAATAAACTTCTATTATATTCTACTACATTCTAAAACAGCAGCAGTCACTGATTTTAACATTTCTTTATAAAAAGACCAGAATGTTGTTTTTTTCTCATAAGTTGAATCTTCACATTATTTCGCTACTATAACTGAAGCTTGGTCTGGCACATTTAATGAGTAAGTCAGAGAACTAGTAATATTACAGATAACTGCTATCTACCCTCTTAGAAATTTAATAATTGGGACAAGAGTAGTTGATAATGTCTTATTATTATTATTATTAGTTGATAATGTCTTATTATTATTATTATTTGTATTATTATCAGTTATTCTGAGCTGGCTAGTTTATTACTTCCTTTGGATGTGTAGCTATATATTTAGGTTTGCTTATATATATAAAAATATTTCTATAATTATGTATTGAAAACATTTTGTTGCTGTTTTTAACTTTTTTATATTTATTAAATTTTTAAAGAATTTATGGTTGCAATTAAATACTTTTCCCATTATAATTGAACTAATAAATATTTCTTTACAGTCAAGTAATATTAAAAATAGGTTTTACCTTTTTACATGTATTACATATTTGTAATAAATACAAAAGTTCAGTTTTCTTCATGAGCAGAAAGCAATTTCTGCTAATTGCTTGTGATTTTATAATTAACCATTAACTTGGGTATATGTGTGTTTTATTTAGACAGGTAAACACTTCAAACAAACTACACTGGTAATAAAAGCATTTCGCTATGAATTCCGTCTTCATTTGGAGCTCAATACGTAAGTATCTTGCTTTTTTTTTCTTATTACTTGAAAGAACATAAATATCATTTGCATGAGTAATGATTAACTGGTTAAAATCATGAATCTTTTGTAAATATATTAATTATCAAAGAGAAAATTTGAAATTATAAGATCATTGGTTTGTTGTTGAGCTATTTTCTCATTTAAACTTTCTACAGGATATTACTTATATATATATCTGGTTTTCTTGCTTCTAAGCCAAGACTATTACTTTGTGTTATTTAACTTCATGATGTTTCTACAATTAGAGAATGTTGTCTGCAATTTCTGCTTCAACTGGTTAAAGACAGTTCGGTTCATTGATCAGTATATACCAATCTGTCAATGGTTACAGTGTACATCAATTTAATTATTAGCAATCTGTCAGTGGTTACAATTTACTTCAGATCAGTGATTAAAATACATATGTATATTGGTAAATTATATATCATTTTAGTTATCAGTAAACAGAAATCTGTCGGTGGTTACAATTTACTGTAAATCAGTGATCAATTGACGTTTGTTTACTGGTGTTTACAGTAAGCAGCATTGGTTTATTGATCAGTGAACACCCATCTGTCAATTTATAGTCTTTTAAGTTAATGATCAATAAACACCAACCTATTAGTTGTTACAACCTATTTCAAGAACAGTCAGACTGAGTAAAATATTTCTGTAGCATAAATTGTCTGCTAGAACCTTGTTAGTACCATTGTAGTCTTCCACACTATTGAGTGATAGATTGCTCTTCTGTGAACTGATGTGTATCTTAATTTTTTTTTCACTGTGATAGAAGTTTTTTCTTTACTTTCATAGGGTGAAAAAAAATCTAATAAGTCTTTTGTGCTTTCTTTCCCTATCCTCATGAAAGTTTCATGAAGTTGAGTTACCAAATTTTTTACTCAGATCATTATATGATTGCTAAAAAAAAATGCTTCAAGTACCCTTTTTTGGCTTCTAGAAGTTTTGTTAAGTTCTAAGTCAACTCTTGTTGTTTTTTCTCTCTCTATTGATTTTAAAAATTTTGATCTCCAATAACTTGTTTTTTTTCAGCATTATACAATAATTCTCCTTGCAGAGGTAACTTTCATTTCATGTGGTTTAAGTTATTTCTCTTACTGCAGGTCCCACTCATAATGTTCTTTGATATAACTAATAATAACACAAGTTTTAGCATGACAGATTTCTTAATTTTGCCTTTAGAGAAAGCCATGAATGTCCTGGAAATGGAGTCAGTATTGTGTCTTCTCTTCAAGACTTTTATTAATCCTTTTATCATTATGTACTACTAGGGTGAAAAAAAAAATCAAGAGTTAGGAGAATTTATGTTACAGATCATTACATTCTATTTTTGCCTGACTTGATTTTCACATAGAATTTGTTCTTCCATTAAATTCTTTAATGGTCCAAGTTGGATCTTGTAAATGAATCTAATTTCTTTAGATTCTTTTGTCACTTTGCTTGCTGGAAGACTAGTGTTCTACTGTATTTACAGATGTAAACATCTTCAGCAGGAAAGTAAACACATTTCCTGCTATTTACCTCTGTAGTAGTTTTTATTTTTTGTCATGGATGTGAAGCTTATTGTAAATTCTGTTAATGGGTGTTTTCCTTGTTTTAGTTAAATAAAAACACTAACTTTTGGGGAGTCGTATATTGCTGCATGTTTATTGTGAAGAAGAGGAAGTTTTAAGATTGGTTATTATGTTAAATAAATAGAGAGAGAGCAGATGACTGTTTTTAATTGTTATATACACACTGTTAGTTTAAAGGAGGAAGACGTTGATTTGTTTAACTGGTTTGGTATTTTATTGGTAAAATGTTAAAAATGTTAATATACAGAAGAATATGAAGTTATTTTAACTTGCATTTTTTCTTTTTACAATTTTATAAAGTGGATGTTTTAAAATATTTTTTATTTGAATACTTTTTAATTGTAATTTATTCTCTTTTTTTTTATCTTGATTGTTTTTGCAGTATCTTACAGGTAATTTGAGAATAAATTTTGTCGTTGTAGATTGTAGATATTGGTTAATCATTCTTGTAACTATGTGTGAATACTTTTTAATTGTAATTTATTCTCTTTTTTTTTTTATCTTGATTGTTTTTGCAGTATCTTACAGGTAATTTGAGAATAAATTTTGTCGTTGTAGATTGTAGATATTGGTTAATCATTCTTGTAACTATGTGTTACGGGTTTGATAAATAAATTATATTGTTTGAGAAGGGTGCTTAAAAAGTTTAAGTACAGCTAGAGATTTTTAGAAATTTTCTCGAAATATCAGGCCATAAAAGTTAGAAGAGTGTGTTATTTAGGTTGTCTAAAAATTTTTTTCAGATGCATTCAAGAAATTATGATAATAAATTCTCCATATTTCTTATTTATATTAATTTTGATTTAAAAGAATGATCATGTTTAACACTGTAGTTGTGTTATGTGTTATTTTTATATGATCAGTTGTAGTTTCTGTATTAAACCATCAAGTTTTGTTTTTCAAAATTTGTAGTTCTGTCAGTTAAAAAGATTTCAGTGAATGCATTGTTTATAGAAATAGAAAGCTTTTAAATCCAATTTCTGTATCTGTATATTGTAAATAAAATAATTTTTCGTATATAAGCTGAGAAGGCTTTTTATAGCTTGTAATCTCAGAGACATTGTTACTTGGTTTAGTCAAATGTTATTTGAAGTGACATCTGTAGCTTCAGAATTAGTAATCAAATTGAATTATAATGTTTTGGCTTTCAAATTTGTTAAAGAACCCTCTTTTGTTTCTTGGCCCAGCATGACCAGATGGTTAGGGCGCTCAGCTCACAATCTGCTGGTCGCGCGTTCGAATCCCCATCCCACCAAACATGCTCGCCCTTTCAGCCATGGGGGCATTATAATGTGACTGTTAATCCCACTATTTGTTGGTAAAAGAGTAGCCCAAGAGTTGGCAGTGGGTGGTGATGACTAGCTACCTTCTCTCTAGTCTTACACTGCTAAATTAGAAATGGCTAGTGCAGATAGCCCTCGTGTATCTTTGCGCGAAATTCAAAAACAAACAAAAACAAAAATTTAGTTTCTCTAGATAGTTATTTATCTTTTAATTCATGGTTTTTATATCACTCAGAGTAGAAGCTTCAAAGTAAAAAATGTTAATTAGAAAATAATCCCGAGGAAAATTTATATTTACAAAACATTGTGGTATAGTTTATAATTGTTCAAAATAGAAATATTCAGTAGTTTTTTTGGATTAAAAATCAATGTCTGAATTGCAACAGCTATGAATGTCTTCATCTATCAGTTTTAAACAGTTGTATCTGAACCACCTGGAACTAATACATATCAGAAACTAAGGTGGACTCCTGTGCAGCTGAAAGTATGATTGTTTGATACTCTTAATTCTGAATAATGTCTCTTTTATCTGATTGTGTATGATTTTCTGTTGCAATATATATTAATGCAAAAATTACTGCTCTCTGTAGTTTACTCTGTTACTTTTTTTCTATTTTAATCCAAAACATTTTGAGTGAAATCTAAAGGAAATAGAACTTGCAGGAAGAGCAAGGATGAGATTCAAAATTGCATGAATGAAATTGTAGCAACAAGAAAATGTGATTAGTGTGTGACAATATTATTTTATTAAACTGATTGTAACCTAGAATAGAAAAAAAATGGGATTGCTTGAGATATACTACTTGGAGAACAGAAATTAACATTTGTGTTTTCACAGAAGTATTTTTTTTTCTCAATTGTGTGAAAATATAATGTTCTTTGAATTAACTAGTATTTTTCTCTTTTTTTTTTTCAGAAGTCTTCTTACCCCTTCATTACTTTAGAAATAGGTTGTGCCAAAGTATTTCAAAAATATATGGTTGTCTTTTATAGACTTTTTCTAGTTCCTCTTTTACTTCAAAAATATTCTGTATCTAGTGTTTAAATCTTTATATTTGGCAAACATTTTCTTGCTCCTACAAATATATTTTGTGTTTTGTATCATAAACACTTGAACCTTTATACCTGCCCTTTACAGAAATCAGTGTTTCTCCAGAAAAGTCTACCTTCAGGCTTTCAAATTATTTCAGAAATATTTTGTGATTAAAACTTAAATCTTTTATTTTTCCTTACAGACACTTTTTGGTTCCTGCATTATTTCTAAAAGAGTTTTTGCCTGGGATTATTACTTTCACACAAACTCTTTAACTTTTATATATCTATCTTTTGCAGAAATCTTCTGGCTCCTACATTACTTCAAAAACATTTTTTACCAGAAGGTGCCCAACAAATATCAACTCAGGTAAAGTTTACCATTGCTAATACTTGGAAATAAATAAGTAATTAGTTGAAAATAAAGTTGAGAAAACAACATTAATCTATTTTAAGTTATTGTAAGTTTTTATTATCAATTACTAAAGTCATAGTTCTTCTATTACCAATTTTTAGGTCTTTTCAAATTTGTAAATTGCTTATATACTTTCGTTGCTAGTTGTGAGATAAATTTATCAGTTCGTTTAATTTTTCAAAGACAGCTGAGTTATTCACTAAAAATAATTTAAAATTTTATTTAGCTTGCAATATTTACAAATGTGTATAAAAAATTATTTTTACCATCAGATGTATTTAAGCCAACAATAAACTAGAAATAAGTGAGTGTGCCACTGTACGTACACTACTAGGAGACAGTAAGCTTTAAGAATGTGAAAGAATATTATCTCTGTGTACACTATTGATGTCTGAGAACTGGCAGGAAACAATACAAGTGGTGACATAAGCAATTGTCTGTGTCATAACTTTATGTTGGATATAATATTTTGTTTCATCAGTAGTAAGTAACACCACAAAATTCATTGTTAATAATTATTACTGATTGACTTCCCTTGGTTATACTCATTCATAATATGGTCCTTTTTTTAAGATTAGTTAAAAAATGTAATTTTAAAAAATATCAACAAAAGAAAAGCACGTCCTTCTAAAATTTTTAGAATTACTTGGAATGATTACAGTAGCATTTGGAATTTAAAAAAAAACATATAAAAAAGGACCAGAACTTGCCATCATGTTGATCTCTTTCTGTTGATGAAAAAACATCAGGAGTAAAGGGGTTAAATCCTTAATAGAAGATCACAGTGTTCAACCAATCTGCTTTATCTTTTTGTTCTTCATTAATAGTGATGATAATACTAATAGTTTGTTTTCAAGTATGTCCCTAAGTTAACCACATTCCTATAGAAATTAATGTAATCTTATGGCTTTACTGTATACGAGATAATGGGTGAAATATTGTGTTATTGGTACATTTGAGATTCATAAATTCCACAATATGCCCATCCATAAAGGTTAAAGTAAAGATTAAAACATTATAAAGCTAAGCAATTGAAAATTTGTTTTCTTTCACAAGTTATTTAGTTTTTCAATATTCAGGTTTGAATATTCTGTACAGAAATAATGTACTTACATTTTCTTCATACAGGTTGTTTCCTATACATATGTTATTTTACTTATTTATAAACAATCTAGATTTGAATAATGTACACAAATCTTGCCTTCCAAATATCTGAAGCTGGTTTTCTCCTTTCTTTTGTATATACATTACAAACTCTGGATTATCATGCATGATCAAATTTTCTTGAATAAATACAAAATTTTGGGGTCAATATCTTTCATTGTTTCCTCCTTTTTTTTATGCTGACTTATATTCCATCATGTTTATTTGAGTCTCTTAGTTCAGCATTTTTAGCTGTTGTCATGGCTGTTAGCTTATTTCATAAAATTTTAAAGGGACAAAAAGGAGCTTATCAGCCTATCAAGGATGTCCCTTTCAGCTCCCAACTATAACCACCCCTTACTACTCATGTATTCATCCAATCCTTTTTTGAACTCAGTTAAAATTTATGCCTCCACCACCCTTCAAAAGGCAGCTCATTCCAAAAGCCAACCACCCTGTTTGAAAAGTAATACCGTCTAAACTACAGGTAACTCCTATGCTGCCAAAATTTGAATTTATGACCCCTTGTCCTATTGTTTTCAATGCTAAACACAAAGTTTGATGGATCTATATTATCAATACTCTTGATAATCTTAAACACCTCTTTCAAATCCCCTTTGACTCTTCTCTTCTCCAGTTAAAAACAAGTTTAGAGATTTTAGTCTCTTCTCGTAGGACAATCCAACCATCCCAAGTATCATCCTAGTGGCTCTTCTCTGAATCTTCTTCAACAATTCAATGTTCTTCTTTGTAAGGGAGCCCAAAACTATACACAGTATTCTAAATGAAGCCTTATAAGTAGTCTATACAGTGAAAAAATAATATTCCTTGTCTTGTATTCAATATTTTTAGATGCTACATAAAATCCTATTAGCCCTATTGCTAGCTGCAGTACACTGTTTAGATGACTTAAGTGATTTTTCTATCACGGCACCAAGATCTTTTTATTCAACCACAGTATTTAATGTACTCCCATTTAAATTGTAACAATAATATGCATTGTGAAACCTACATGCATCACCTTAAATTGTGATAGTTAAACATCATCTACCACATATTGGCCCAATGCATCAAATTATCTAAATTTCCCTGTAAGTCTACAGCATCTTAGCTACCCCAAAAATCTTAATGTCGTCTGCAAACTTCAAATTTTTTAGTAATTCAAAAGTCAATATCATTAATATAAGTCACAAACAGCAGAGGACCCAGCACAGAGCCTTGAGACACACTGTTTGTAACTGTGATCCAGTCAGATCTAACTCCATTTGTTACTACTCTCCAGCAAATTTTCTGGGATGAGAGCTTGGATGAGTGGTAGTATATCTACCTTTCTAACCAGAAGACCCATGATATGACGTATATATTCATGATGACAAGAAATCCACACAGGTGTTCCTTGTCAGATCTTCTCTGAAAACGGTAGTCAGTTGCCATCCAAAATGTGGGATATAAACAAATTAGTATTTTCTAATGGGGAAAAAAAAAGTTGGTAATTAATTAGTAATTGGACTCTGATTATTGTATAGACTATTAAATCTGTTATTTTAGCTATGTTTCTAATATATTGATAGCTGGCCTTTATGCAGGTAAATAGTGAAATTAATTTTGGGCTTGTATATTCCACATTTTAAATTATACATGATAAATACATTTGAGTTTCAGTCAAATTATCTTAGTTTATATCTCATCAGTTCTACTTGTTCCTCTGTGTATGGTGTTTTATGATGTCTTTTACTTACCACATTGAACCTATATTTATATAAAAGTAAAGAAGAATAAGTAGTTTTGATATTACTAGTTCATTATTCTGAATTATTTAGTAGACAAGCTGTTTAAAATGCTAAAAAATAAATTTGAAGCCCATTCTGTTATTCGATTCGCCACTTGTCACTGAGTTATACTGGAGTTGGAGGATTCAACCCTCGTTACTGTGGTGAGTAAAAAAAACAACTCAAAACACCATTGTATAACATGTACCCCACAACCATATAAAGCCTAGTCTTGTTATGGGCTGTTGAGGAGGGATGGACTTCCATTAAACCATTATAAGTCTGTGAGAATTAAGAAATTGAACAATAGATCGTGCTTCATACTTATATTTAGTTATTCCTCTGTGTGTGTGTTATGTCCAGTATTATAAAGATTTCAATAACCTACTCAAATATTTATGATGTTAGGAAACACGTAGGTCCAATAAATCAATTCAACCCAAAAATATGATCCTATAATCTGAGTGCTTTCAAAAGGTGGACCTTTCTTCTTCAGGGGCAAATTAAGAATAATATATATTCATTCATAGTTTATTACATTACTTTTTTTCTGTAAAAACTAAGTTGGTATCTATTATATTTAGAATACAAAATTAAACAGTAATGTTCATTGATAGAACTACAAAGAATTCACAAACTTCAAAAACTTATTGACATTTTATCTCAGATTTATAAATGAATAATGTACTGTCTATTACTTGAAATAAGATTTGTTTTGCTTGGAATAGGAAGTTGAAAACTGTTACTACCATGGAACCATAAGTAACTACCCAGGAGCCAAAGCTGCCTTCCGTACTTGTAATGGGATCAGGTAAATACATGTATAACTTATCTGGAGGTAATTTTTCTGAGAGTTTGAGTATTTAGATATTTTTTCAAAGTTTAATCAATTTTTGGCTAGTTCTATAGTGAATTTTGTTAGGTGAATTATAAGAAAAATATCTATTTTATTTCTTAGTCTATGGTAACATAAATATTTTTTTATACTCTAAGAACATTATCAAAGTATCACAAGTGTACTATTTTGAAGTCATCTTATGAGAACAGAAGATGTATTCCTCTACAGAATACGTAACCTGTGTCTCTTACTTTAAGTAATTCTTAACCAGGACACCTCTCTCTTGTTTTACAGAATATATAACCCATGTCTCTTGCTTTAAGTAATTCTTAACCATGATCTCTCTCTCTCTCTTGTTTTACAGAATACATAACCTGTATCTCTTGCTTTTTTTAATTATTAACCAGGACCTATCCCTCTCTTGTTTTACAGAATACATAACCTGTATCTATTGCTTTGTGTAATTATTAACCAGGACCTCTCTCTCTTGTTTTACACAATACATAACCTGTGTCTCTTGCTTTAAGTAATTATTAACTAGGACCTCTCTCTCTTGTTTTACAGAATACATAACCTGTGTCTTTTGCTTTGTTTAATTCTTAACTAGGACCTCTCTTTCTTGTTTTACTCGACTCGCTCTCTGAGGGTCGCGGGTTTGAATCCCCATTCCACCAAACATGCTCGCCCTTTCAGCCATGGGGGCATTATAATGTCACGGTCAATCCCATATTCGTTGGTAAAAGAGTAGCCCAAGAGTTGGCGGTGGGTGGTGATGATTAGCTGCCTTCCCTCTAGTCTTACACTGCTAAATTAGGGACGGCTAGCGCAGATAGCCCTCGTGTAGCTTTGCGCGAAATTCAAAACAAAACAAACCTCTATGATTTTTTTTTTCATCTATATAGTATAATACAAACATTACCTTGCAAAAATTGTTTGAATATGAAGTGTCTTGGTGGTCACTGTCTCAATACAATGTAGCACTGCTTTTGGCTTAGCTAACTACTAAGGTTCTTTGAGGCATGATCTCAAATAAGTTCTAACAGATGTTGCTGGTGCAATTTGTGTCTATTCTTGTTTCAAAGTCTATTTCAAGATACTGATATTTCAAAAGTTACAGTGCTTTGTATTAGAGTGTATTATTCTGTTGAAACAACACATTGTTTTTTTGACAGAAATCTCTGCTTTGGTTTGTGAACTGTCTTTGTGTAAGTTCTCAATATCCATGGACATTTAAACATGCAAACACATTACAGAGAGATCCCACTCCTAACTCACAAAATACAACCCAAGCTACACTACCCTCACTATATACTTCCATACTTTGCATAATATAGTCATAGCTTATTGTAGGTTAGCCTACTTTCAGATCCACATTCAACCATTAGTGTGAAACTGTATGACATGGCTCTCATCACTTTGTGAAATCTGTACCCATGTTAAGATAGTAATGCTAGACTCATGACATTTTCATCATTTTGTTACCTAGGCAGTTGCTGGTTAGGTCATTTTGAGAATAATATTATATTATTATATAATATAATAATATTATATGTATATCATCATTGCATTGTATTGTTATGTCCCTCTACATCCAGCACAATGGTATTGAGATTCTTGATGGTGAAGTACCTAATGAAGTACACTTGTGTTCATAGAAAGCACACTGCACAGTCCTCACAAATGATGCCCTGTTAGAGATAGGATTACACTGGTTGCAGGAAAATTACTATGAGTTTATTCTAAAATGATTTCCAATATTTCTTCCATAATACTAAAAAGTGCAAGTTTATTCCAGTACGACTGAATATTTTTCAGACAAAATATTGTATTCTTAAATGACCATATATACATTAGATCATTTATAACCAAAAGAAAACTGCAACAGTTGCATTTATTTAATTATTTTTTTTACACTTGAAATGATTTATCATCTTTCTAAAATTCATGTAGTTCATGTTGTTTTGCAACATGTACAAACTTTGATAGTAGTAATTTGATTTTTTGGTGAATCTTTGCTCTTGTACTTACTGAGTTTCTGGAACATTTCAGAAGAAAGCATATCACATGCTTAGTGTGTTCTGCAGAGCATTATATACATGCCATATTTCCAAGTTATAGATCTGTTTATTAGAAATTATTGATTGCTAATGATTGAACATATTTTGGTAATTTTATTGGCAACTTTTATTTTTCTCTGTATATTTTTAGTGGGGTTATTCATGTCCAAAATGAAACATTTGTTATCCATCCATTTTTTGGAGTGGACTTACCAGTAAGTATGAATATTATAATGACCGTGTAGTTGTATGGTAATCTAATTTTTTGTTTTGTTTTTTCTCTTGGGTCAGAATCTAACCTGAGACCTACCAAGACAAATGCTCTACCAACTGAGCTAAATGGTTAACTCACTAGTGCTTGCTAGTAAGACGCTTTTTAACAACTGAAACTACCTTATTCTCTCTCTCTTACAAACAAGCCCATATCTCAGGGTCATGGGCTAGTCTGATGTTGAGCAACAATTTTTCTTGTGCTGATTTCAACTTTGTTTTCTGTGCTCAGATTCGAACCTGGGAACTTTTGGGTGTTGGGTGAGTGCAAGAAATCTTTGATTTGAATCTTAGCTAAGGAATTAATAAATTTGAAATCACAACAAGAAACATTGGTGCCTAACACGAGTCCATCCCATGACCCTGAGATAAGACCTTGTTAAAAAGTGTCTTACTAACAAGCATTAAGGAGTTAACTCTTTGGCTCAGCTTGTATTACACTTGTTTTGCGTGTGTGTGTGTGTGTGTGGGAGGGGGGGGATTGGATTACCACATATATAAGCTATTTTAAATACTTACTTGCTAATTAAAATCCCTTGAATGTTTTGTTTTTAAAATACTTTCTGCTTAACATTTTATTAGTAAATAAACTGCACAATGACTATGTTGTATTCCAACTGTTATTAATAGTATAATCACTAACACGAGTCCATCCCATGACCCTGAGATAAGACCTTGTTAAAAAGTGTCTTACTAACAAGCATTAAGGAGTTAACTCTTTGGCTCAGCTTGTATTACACTTGTTTTGCATGTGTGTGTGTGTGTCGGGGGGGGGGATTGGATTACCGCATATATAAGCTATTTTAAATACTTACTTGCTAATGGAAATCCCTTGAATGTTTTGTTTTTAAAATACTTTCTGCTTAACATTTTATTAGTAAATAAACTGCACAATGACTATGTTGTATTCCAACTGTTATTAATAGTATAATCATTACAGATTTGTTTTGAAAATTCTTTTCTACTTTGTTGGATATAATTAACTTGGCTATTATACCTCAATTTCACTATTTTCATGATAATCAAAACTAGTAATTAATCATTCAATCATTTTTACTGTCATTAAAACTAGTAATTAATCATTCAATCATTTTTACTGTCATTAAAACTAGTAATTAATCATTAAATCATTTTTTACAGTCATTAAAACTAGTAATTAATCATTCAAGCATTTTTACAGGCAGGTTGCCTGGTTACCACTTTGTATGTTAATCTGGCAGACTGTTTATGTTTCGTGTGATTTTCGATGTAAGCCATTTTATTCAATGCTTAACTAGGTGGTTGGAACTGGCAGCTTTATCTGTCAGATAGCATGATGAATGTAGCAGATAATTTTGTTTTTTATATTGCATGATAATTTTAGTATGACGATTACAACTAACAAATTTATATTATAGGTAGCATGACTGAATTACCAGATTATTGGAGTTAATCATTTAGCTAGTCCATTGAAAATGTGGATGTTAAATTTCCATGATGTTTGGAGTTTAACATTCTGTGTGTCAGCTCACTTTTGTGCAAGATATAATTTTAATGTAAGAAAAATTGATTAGGATTCAAGCACATGCCATTGCTTGCTAGGCAGTTGCTTTAAACAACTATAATCTCTTGTGTTCAGGTTTCTGTGGCACCTGTTTTTGTTTGTTAGTGTGAAAATATTTATAAGTGATATTTCAAAATATAAGCATTTAGTAAATATTAATTTTTCATATCAAGCTTGATTGTTAAAAGAATGAGGTAACAAAATATTCTTAATTGTGCTTTTCTTTGCTAGTCTCAGATTATCCGTTCCGAGTTTCTGATGAAAAAAGTAAACAGAGAAGGCAGGGTTTCTGTGTTGTTTATAGATTGGCTAATTCTCTTCTTATTAGCTTGACCTTTGTAATGTCCTAAGGCTGTGTGTTTGTGCATGTTTGTACATCTAATATAATTATGTGGACTAGAAAAAGTCTGTTTGTATAGAATATAGCAGCTTTACAAATGTAGTTAGATACACTTAGTAAGTCACCTTTTATGTCTTTGTGGCCAGGCCTGTATGACTTGCTTTAACTATACATATTTCCTCTATTGTACTTGGGATAAAAAAGAAGTTTTATATTTCAGATGGAGCATCCTCATATCATTTACCAATACTTTGGAAGAGATAAAAGAAAGTATTCTTGTGGTAAGTTTTGTTAAATGTGTATGGTTATATTTTAATGTTTGTCAATGTTTAACAAGTTGTAGCCTTCCTGATCAGTTACAGAGTGTTATATTAAAATTTATAAATAATTAGTAAAGAAGTAATAACTTTAATCATGGATGAAATGTATAATTCTATTTAATAAGTGGAATTTTGGATTCGGTTTCCTAACAGTTAATTGTACTTATGATTCAAAGATGCTATTATTTACTTTTAATTTTAAGACTGCTAATTTTTGCTAAAACAGTATATATATTAAGTATGCTACTAATGTTATAAAATTAATCCTAGTTGTAACATTTTACTAAAATGTAAAAGCTTAAATTAAACCAGGTTTTAGGTTGGGTGTTGAGAGGTGGAACTATTATCCACACAATAACAATTTTGGCCAATTTTGAAACAAAAATATATATTTTTAATGTTTGAGAACTCTATGATAGATGTGTCATCACTCCAAATGAGAAACCTGCCTGCAAATGTTTTCATTTATATAAGGTTTTTACCTTGTGACCTTATGTGAAGAATTGGGATTCTGTTTGCAAATTCTAATGCCTTTGGGTAGTGCTATCTATAAACATATCTGAAATAAATGCATCATACAACAGTGTATTAAAGATTATCATAAAGTAATACAAAAATTTGAATTTCTATGTTATAGAAATGATTATACAAGTAACTGGTTCATAGTTGGCCCAAGTAAAGCTATGATAAGGGTTTATTGATTCTTAACTTTAAATATGTTATGTGCATGAAAAGTAGTGATCTTCAAAGACTTATACAATAAATACAGGAAGAATATAAGAGTAGTATTTAGTGTTCAGTTGATTTATTCTCTCCAAACTGTAGAGTGCGAAGATTTTGACATAATCGAGGGAATTTATGTTAAAACAATTAACATAAAACACGAACGTAATAACAGGAAATATTTATTAAATGTTTCGGAATCTTCATAATTCTATTATCAGTAATTTAGAGGTACAAAACAAACAATATTTGTAATTAGAGAAATATATACATAAGAAATAATCAATTTGAATGCATAAATATATAACACGAGAAAATGAAAACTGAGGTACAGTATTGTGGTTGGCTGTTGAAAGAATTTTAAAGTTTGAGAGGGAAATCAGAAATCCTGTTTCTTTATTGTGTTGATAAATAGTGGAGTTGGGAGGGTCTGTAACCTTTCTTCTAGTTTTTATACACATCTGATTTCTCTCTCAAACTTTAAAATTCTTTCAACAGCCAACCACAATACTGTGCCTCAGTTAGGTCTTTTTTAAAGAAAAATATATTGAATATATTTATATATATATATATATATATATATAAA